AGTGTGTGAAGATAAATATTTCTCTCTCTAAAATTTTAGGGTTTGTGTTCTCATCTAATGGAGGCTCCCACAAGCTATACGTCCAAGGTCTTCATGGAGGTTATATAGGTGATTCCTAAAGGCATGACTATCATGGTGATGGTGGTGACCTAATAAGGAAGAAGGAGCTAAAGTGATCAACATAAGAAAGATCATTCCCTTTGGCTCCGTTTGGTTAGATGGAAATAAGCAAGAAAAGAAAAGAAATGGAAAATGAAAGAAAAGTGAAGTGAATGGAAAAAAAATTATTTTCTAATATGCATTTGATTAAAATGAAAATTTATTCAAGAAAATTGTAGAAAAATATTAATTTGTTATTTTGGATAGCATGAAAGTGAAAAAAAAAATTTGATTGAAGATACCAAATTTACCCTTATAATTTTAAATACTAATAAATAAATGAATTTGTATTTGTTGATGTATATTTTTAGCAAGGAAATAGTAAAATAATGGATTATTAAATTTAATAATATAATTATTTATAATTTATTTATATTTAAAATAAGACTTCATAACTAATTATTAGTGTATGAGAAACGAAAATTAAAAAAAAACACGGAGATGTATTGATGGCAATACTAATTTTTTTTCAGAGAGATTTGATTGTATTTTGTTGTTGCGAGTTATACATGAACTTGTGGAAAAACAAAGAAAGATGAAGAAAAAAAAAAGAAAAAAAAACAAAGAAAAGTTGTTTTGCAGAGAACTTGCCTCTTAGAAATCCAGTACAACAATAAAGGAAGAAATTGTTTTTCACGATTAAGTTAATGGGTAAAATAAGAATGTCAAATAAAAAGGCAAACATTTCACGCGAAAAAAATATTTCCCTGTGTTTTGTGCATGAAAAGTTTTGAGAGAAAATAGACAAGTATGGAAACAAACTTTTCCATTAGTTTTCTCTTTCTATCTATCCAAACTCTAAAAAAAATTACAAATTTTATGTTTCCTTTCTTTTCTAGCTGTTTCCACCTAACCAAACAAAGCCTTTGTGAATGGTTTTGAAGCTTATTCAAACTTCTAAGTAAGTTTACTAAGGGCACTAACAGGAATAATTCCTGATTTTTACTGCCAATTCCTAAAATAGGAATCAAAAGTAAAAATCATGTTTAATAAAATACTTTTACTTTTTTGTTTTAAGAAAGTACTTTCTAGTTTTGTGAAGGGAAGAGAAAGTAAAAAATCCTCACTTTCTCTATTTTCTACACTGTTCACTGAAATCACTTTCTCTACTGTAGCATCACTTATCAAAAAAAAAAAAAAAAAAGAAAAGAAAAGAAAGAAAAAAAGACTCCATAACCCATCTCGTCGCAACCCATCCAAATCCCTCTTCTGCGCTCCTCATCCTCGAGCCCTAGCCGACTGCAACCACTGCCACAACCATCAATTTCCACCCATCCTCCTCCTATCTCTCTCTACCTCATCACCCACCACTCTTTTCTCTCTGTTTAAAATCAACCAAAGCCTGTTCTTCATTGGTTTAATTTATGAAGATGGTGATTTTAAGCTCCGATGACCACGGTTTTACAAATTCCGGCGACGAAGGATTCACAATTCCGATGACAACAACCAACAATTTTGAGGACGGAGATGTTGTGACTATGTAATTCCGGTGGTGGGTTTGGTTTTTGTTCCTTGGATTGGGACTTGGGTTCGCTGTGATTAGGTTGCAGTGGCGGCTAGGGTGTCGATGGTTTGAGTTTTGCAATAGGCAGTGATGGGTGGTGGCGATGGAGGCTTTGGGTGGAGGTGGTGATGTTTGCACTTGGCGGTTGGTAACGACAGCTCTCTGGTCGCCGATCGCATTGATCCTTTCTGAACTTTCACTTTTGGGTACTGCTTGTGAAAACCTTGTAAGATGACTGTGGTTCAAGGAGCTAACCAAATTTCCCCAAGAATCTGAAAAAGAGGTTAATGACGAGAAAGTAGCGCCCAACGTCCATTCTTTTCTGGTTTGTCTCTATGGATCCAATCTCTGCTCCCTGCTACTGATTTTTTTAAAATTTTTTTTTTTTTTTAGGGTTGCAGTGTCTGTGTTTTGTTGGTTGTGATTTGTTTGGTGCAACTTGGTTTAGGTGGATGGTAATGGAGGTTTTGTGTGGTGGTGGGCAGGGGTCAGCGAATTTGATAGTGAATTGGGTTCAATTAGTCACAAAAATATGAGAGAGAAGGATTGAAAAAAAATTGTACACACAAAATCAAAATTATAATTATTGAACTTGCTTTCTAATTTCTTGTTTTGAAAATATTGAAAGCATGAAAAATTAATGAACATGATTCTACTTCATATTTCAACTTTAGAAATGAAAATCATAATTTTACTTTCGAAGAAAGTAAAAGTAAGAAAGTGAAAGCGTAGTAAACAGGCCCTAAATCTAATAAATGTATCATCATCTTCTTCTTGCATTAAAGTAGCTCCTAGAGATGGATCAAGATAAAAGCCCTCTTCCAATTTTTGAAAATATCCATTTCCCTAACATAAGTGACTTTTGAGATTCGGTGTGGAGAGGGAGAGACTCTGGAGGAGAGGGGCGGGTGGTGCTCTCTTGAGGTGAGGATTCTATGTGGGCTGGGTCTTGGAAATTCATTAGGAATGTGTGGGATGAATTTTCTAAAGACATCATATTCAAGGTCCGAGGAGGCACATTTATCTGTTTTTGGGAGGACAGTTGGTGTGGGGATTGTGCGTTGGCGTGTATTTTTCCTAGGTTCTCCATGATTGCTACCGAGTACTTCAATAGAATGCCTTCCATAAATAAGTGAGAACACCTTCAATTTATTCATGGTTCATTCAAGCGCCCTCAGTGATTTGGATTAGCTTGGCGGTGGAGCAGTCCAACACCCAAGGAAGGAGCTAGTTAAGGCTCAGGTGGGGCACATCCCCCCACCCCCAAAACTTTAAAAAAATTGCATTTTTGTATGCATAATTCTTTAAAATTAGATTTTTGAATGTATAATTCTTTAAAATTTTAAAATCCCCCCCCCCCCCCCCTTCAACTTTAAAAAATTTCATTTTTGTATGTATAATTCTTTAAAATTTTAAAATTGCACTGCCTCAAAAAAAAAAAGTTATTGCATTGTGCCCCCTGAACATAATTTATGGCTCGGTCCCTGCCAACACCACCTGGTGGAGCATATGCCCAGTGTTGTTTATTTTCTTTGTAGAATTTTCTCCCCAATCTCCCACCCGTTTAAAACTTCTGATAAATTATATTCAAATCCAAAAAAGATTTAAACTCGATATCAAAAAAATATTAACCAGAATTAATTAAATTCTAATGCTTAACAAATAATTTTGGGTCCTAATCTAATCTATCCCCTTGAATAAAATTTTGCACACAAAATTCATTATGTGCCTTAAGAGGTCAGGAGCTCAAGTTACATACATAAAATCTAGCCTCTAATTAACACGTAACACCTTTCACGTCATGACGCTGCCATGGCAACTTAACAAATGTAAATGTTTTGTTTTCCGCAACTTGTTCTTAGTGTCCAAATCCGTTATAGGCTTCTCCGCATCAGCAATATCCTTTTAAATTTATTTGCTATGTCATTGTATCATTGCATAGGCTCCATTTGTACTTCATAAGCATCAACAGGTGCAATATGCCATGCACTCCCCAGAACTGAACTGGTGATACCAATCTACATGTCACCACTCAGAACCTAATCATAATACAACTTCATGATTCCAAGAAGCATATAATTTTATTTTATTTTTATCAATGCTTCCATGATGAATATAAATAAGAGAATGATGAGCCTTAATTAACACATCTTCCATTAACTGTGATACTTCCAGTCTACCAAGGAATCACAATCCACCATCTAAATATACTGAACCACCTTCTTACTCATCATCAGTGTTATCCCTAATAATTTATAATTCTAGGTTTTTTTCACTGAGACTTGATTGCCTTGTGAAAAAAGTGGGTTATACCACCAAATTATATGTTCCTCCTCATGAATCATGCTCATTTTAGTTGTTTTAAGTTTCTTCCACTTCCAAACTATGAGGCTAACAGGCATGTTTCATTGCCCAAAGTTATTTCAGGACTAGTTAACCTCAAGCACAGGACAGAACAAACAAAAACAAAAGGAACTTAAAAGATCTGATGCAGTATCACAGTTCCAAACAGACCTAGTCTACATGTAAAACCAGATGCACAATCAACGATAAGTAAGCCAAAAGGTTGAGGGATATGATTAGCTTCAGAAAAGAGCAGTCAGTCCAAATTTTGAGCATTAAATATAAGTTCTCTAAATAAATGATGATCCTCTAAATGAGATGATGATAAAGCCATCATTCAAAGTATAATAAGTCTTGATTCATTAATTAACTCCAACCAACAGCTCTTTTTTTTCCCATAGGTAAGATGCACACCCACTATTGCCGAAATGGGACTTGAATCCAAAACCTCTCGTGTGGGAGGATGAGGAGATATTAATTTGGCTACGTGGTCCACCAAAAGCCTTAGTTCTCAAATCCATCATCATCATCCTTGCCTTTATCCCATACAAACGGGGTCGGCCACATGCCCACATGTATTCTCTTTTTCCACTCGTTTCCACCATAAGCCATATTTTTTACTAAATTTAGTTCTCAATTATGATAACTAAATTACTGTTTCTGAATTCCAGCAGTATGCCCCACTAATTTTAACCTAAAACATAAGGATTAGCACAAATTGCGCAATAATTTAGAAAAAACAATGATAATCAAAAATGTTAAGCCTGAAGTTTCCCAAGTCCTAAGACAATACTGGCAGGACAGGGACATAACAAAAAGAGAAATAAATAAACATGAAGCATTCATAAAAAATAAAAAAAGCATGCACAAAAGTCTTTTTCTTTTTTCTTTTTCTTTTTTTGCTTTTTTTTTTGTAAATGTAAAACACACACCAAAACTATTGTCTAGGTTGTTCTAGAAAGCAAAGCACAAAAGAAAATTCGAGGAGATTTACCTCCAAAGGTTCCATTTTCTTCACGTTTGACAATAACCTTATCTTCTTGATCCGTAACCATTTCTCTTTTAGAGTGATCCTCATGCTGCTTTTCTCTCTCCTTTTCCTTCTCCTTTTCTCTCTCCTTTTCCTTTTCTATCCTCTCTCTGTCCTTTTCACGTTCCTTCTCCCTATCTTGTTTTTCCCTCTCTCTTGCTCGCCCACGTTCTCCTTCATGTTCCCTTTCTGACTCTTTATCTCTGCTCTTCTGTTGATTTTTCTTTTTCTCTTTTACCATTTGCTGCAGTTCATTGACATTCTTTGTAATGAGATCCAGAGGTTGTAGAAATGAGAAATCTTCATCCATATCTGTGTCACTCTGGCAAGCTTGAAACAAACATTGATCAACATAACTACAAGGTATGCAGACTAAAGAATATTTCAAGAAATATGAATCAAGTATGCAATAAAATTAGACATGCAAGCATTACTCAAGTTGGCTTCCATCTCTAGGTATTGAAGTCCTTTCTGCACAAATGTGACAAGAGCCCCAGGAGGAACCAAATTTCCATCAATGGGGCATTTGTTAATACCCGCCTCATATCCCAATGCAAAAGCAGAATGTGTAAAACCTGCAAAAGTGTACGACAAGGAACAAATTTAAAAAGTCATATGTTGTTCTTTCTTTTTGCTTGATTTAAATGGAAGATGGAAACTATAGACCAGAAGGTTTCCATCCCCATAGGATCCTAAAACTATAAGTAAAATTAAATATTTAGCCTATCTAAAAATAAATTAGTTCAAAAGCAAACAGTGCTCACATCCAACAGAATACCTACTTGTCAATGAGAGATCAAGAACTACGACATTAGATATCTTAATCAACCCTATTAAGCAAGTCCTAGCAATCCATAATAACCAATCTAAGGGAAGTAATCAAAGTTGATCACACAACACACTATTGGAAACTAACAATCCTGGTCATTTGGGAACCAGAGGGCCCCTTAAGAGACCATTACCAACAGAAACACCTATAACCTTGAGAGGCAAAACAAACAAAGCGCAAAATAACAGTGTCCCCTCACTAAAATGCTCCCGGAATAGGGTCATGGATCCATCAGCAAGCACAATATATTATCTGCAAAACATGGAGTAACCATGAGAGATGAGCTTCTAGATACAACAGTGAATCAATTTGTTTCTTTGGAAGCAAACCCACTTTCATGAATACTAACTATCTTTCTATCAGTATTGCACAAAACTCCAATTTTTATCGTCATTTTGGAGATCTCCTTAAATTTTCTAATAAAGGCAATACTATTTGACACAATCTCACCCAAATCAAGCCTACCTTTCTTTTTATGACCCAAAATATACTGGTTCCACCAAATAATCCCTCCTAATCCCCCTTTAGAATACCAACCACTTGCAAACCCATCAAAACCCTTAAAGGAAATCAGAGAACTGCTACAACACCACATTGAAAAAGCCCTAACCTCCAAAAAACTATACATATGCTTTCTTCAACCAACCCCTTGCAAACCCTAGGACGAATTTGCATGAACGAAGAACTTTAATTCAAGCTCCAAAACAATTCAAACAACAGCAAAAGCACCACGAGTGTCCACAGATCTAAAAGCTCTCACCACTTCAACACTGACAACTCCAACCAACAATATTAACAATTATTCAAAAAAAAAAAAAAAAAAAAGCTTAATTTTGCACAGCCCTAACCAAACCCTAAACCAAAACGGCAAAATGCAAGCGACCCAGTAATTAACACGAGCTCAGAAATCCACAATACAAAAATTAAAACTAAAATTACCCTAAATTATACAAATACACAAATATATACGCACATATAAATACATTTGCATATATATATATATATATATATATATAGAGAGAGAGAGAGAGAGAGGAGGAGGAGGAGGAGGAGGAGGAGGGTACCTGATTCTTGAAGGTAACGGAAGACGAGGTAATTCAATTCGACGGAAGTGATGGAGGTCATGGTGGCTAATGGGTCATGTGGCTGAGCTGTTCGAGAGAGAAAGAGAGGGCTAGTTTCCTCTTTTTGGAGGAAGGAAGTAGCCGGAAAAAGTGGGACTTCAGTTTTGCAGCATCGGAGTCCTCTTTCTCTCTCTAGAAACCTTACGACACTGTTACCAAATTTAGAGAGGAAACGTATTACTACTACTCGCTAACGCTTGGTTTGTATTTTCAATTTTCTATGGAGAGACAGGATGATGATGGAAAATCGAGGAAGGAAGGGAAAGGAGGAGGGACGGAAAAAGAAAGTGAATTTAGAGAGGAAAGGAGTGCTGCTCGCGTGACACCATTATACAACCGAATTTAAAAGGTATTTTTTAAAAAAATTTAAAATATAAAATAATGAGAGATATTTTCTTCTTATTTTTTGTCAAATTTAAAAAATATATATATATATATCTTATTTGTTTGAATTATTTTCTGCAAAAAGAAAAAAAAAATTATAAGATTTAATTTAAAATATAAAAATAATGAGAGATATTTTCTTCTTATTTTTTGAAAAAAAGGAAAAAACTCGATCTTTCAAAATCATGCAAAATGCACTCCTTCTGTTAGATACATTCAAATGTCTGTTAGTTTGTTATGTGAATTTACTAAAATGTCCTAGTAATGAAAAATAAAACAAAATAAATATGAAAAATTTCAATACAAATTCCAAATCAATTAATTATAATTAATATGACATTGTTTTACACTTTTACCACCACACATTATTTGTTTTCCAAACACTATATTAGTATTTTTATAGGATGACGATATTCGCATTCCACTTTTCTTCAATTCCACTCTATTTATCATTTTTTTTTTTAAATGACAATTATTTTTTTTTAGGAAATGACAAGAAAATCATTTAATTAATTAATGTACGATTCCTAAATTTATAATCTCGTAACTACCCGTTATACAACTTTAACTTTTTTTTTTTTACTTTCTTTACTATTTTTTTATTTTATTTTTGTTGAAAGAGATTGATATTTATTCAATAAAATTAACTTTTTTCACTCATGTCAAAAGAGGTAACTTTATTTTTTGATAAGTCAAAAGAAATAATTAATTCTATAAAAATAACTTCTTCTTTTTTATCTTATCAAAAGAGATAATTTATTCAATAGATTATCTTCCTTTTTTTTTTTGTTGAATCTTGACAATAGAGATAATTTATTCAATAAACATATATTTTTGATGGTTTTTTTTTTCATGTCAAAAGAGACAATTTTTTTAATGGTTACTTTTTATTTTTTTGGTCCAGTAAAAAGAGGTAATTTATTAAACTTAACAAAAAAATAATAATAATTTGGTTCCTTAAAAAAAAAAATTTATTCAATTTTTATTTTATTTGTGTTGTCAAAATATACTTTAAATATTAAAGATTGGAAATAAGGAGAGAAAATTTAAAAGAGCAGTTGTGTTATTTAAAAAGTAATAATTATTTACTTGTAAATTTAATGTTAGAATTGTCATTTCATTTAAGATTGCAGTGCAAATGTTGAAAAGTAGAGTGCAGATATCGCCTCTCTTTTTATATTTGTTTTTATTTTATTCAAGTTAAAACACTTTAATAATTTCCTATTGAAATTAATGGAAATATAGCACAGTTCTGAAAATTAACAGAATTTTTAAACTTGAGGGGAGTTTGTTGTGAAAAATTGATATAGTTTAGGGATTTTATACAAATTGTTCTCATATTTTTTCGGCTAAGAGAAACTACATCGGAGAAAAATAACTTTTTTCTCATTTATTCTCTGTCATTCCTTTCACCAAAAATTATTAGTTTCCTTCATTACCTCTCTTCAATCCTTCCTTTCCGCCAAACAAGCTTCGAATTCTAAAGTCACTGTCATTTATAATGGAACCAATCTGTCATAAAATCACGACTATTCAAAATATTTTTATCAACTCTCTTCATGGCTTTATACTAGGGACACAGTAAATACAAAATAAAAATAAAAACTAATTCAGATAAATGTATCATGAAGCTAGATTTTTTTTTTTTTTTTTTTTTTTTTTTTTTGCACATAAAAACTTTTCTTTGAGAATGCAACACCATTATTTGGAAAATGCTATATAAATTACTTTAGAATAAAATTATTTCATCGTCAAAGTAAATAGGTGTAACAAGAGTCATTTGTCTCACATCGGATTCGAATAAAAAAGTGATTGGATATAATTGAGTGGGCATGCAGCACTATTCAATTGCTTTGTTTTTTGAAAAAATGGGCAAGCGTCCACCCAGGGGCAGCTGGACCTTTAGGCGGTTGCCTAAGGACCAAGCCAATAGAAAGGCCTTAATTTTTATTTTTATTTTTTATTATATTATATCATTCCTAAAATTTTTATTTCATTTCTATTATCACTCCGGTCAATATTAAACCCCAAAATTTGTATTCCTTATATTATAACTTTCAAAAATTCTTATTTGTTTATATTATAACATTCCTAAAAATGTTATTTCCTTCTTATTATTAAGCTCTGCCCAATGAAGAGGCCTCAAAATTTTTTTTTTTTCCCTTATATATTATAACCTCCTTAAAAATTCTATTTGTATTATCTCTCTCTCAACTTCTCATTCGTTTTTTTTAGAATTTGTAAAACTTTCCATATTCTTATTTTAACTTTTATCTTCTTTGTTTTTTTTTTTTTTCCTTCTTATTTCTGACATATTTTTCCTCATTTTTCATTAAGTATAAGTTGTATAATTCTATGATCAATTATGTGACAAGAAAGATTGATTGAATTGACTATATATATATATATATATATATATATATATATATATATATTAGATATTAAAAGACTACTTTTATATTTTTTGCCTAACGCCTCAAATTATATTAATTCATTTTTGTACCCACCTGTTACAATTGGTATAAGAGTCAAATTTAATTTTTGATCCGATATCAAGCCAAACAGCCCGATAACAAGCGGTCCGAACCACATGGACTTTGCATTGACGAATTTGAAATAGTGGTATCGTATCTATTCGTATGAGCAGAAAAGGAGAGAGAGTCCAAGAAAAATTGGTCATTTTGTTACCATGCTTTAGTGCTTTACTACTTAAAAGAAAATTAATAATTTAATAATATAATCAAGGGTAATTTGGTAAAAAGTGTTAAGGGCTCCTAAACAAAAAAACAAAAGTGTCCCACAATGATCATATCAAAATATTTTTTTTTGCTTTTGCAGTTTGGTGTCCTTGAAAGTGAAAAGTGTTCAATTCATTAATTAAAGAAATTCCATACACAATGAATGTCCTAGAAGTCTGAAGAATAAATAATCACTGTTTAAGATTCCGAGTTCATCTTGATTTAATTTAATCAATTTTTTTATCGAACATTAATTTAAGAGGCATTTATTGAAGTGTTAACAGAACCATGACCTTCGCTAAACTTGTTCGCTGACAGATGGAAAATGACTTTGAATAAAAATAAAAAAAATCAATTATATTCTTATTTTATACAGAGTAATAATGAAACATATTATATTTTATAAAATTTTGGTATCAAAAAAATAAAAAAGCTAGAGCTGAACGGAAATGGATAACATTAAAAAGAGTTTACAAAGCTAATAGTTTTTTAATATTCCATCAAACTCATTCAAATCCAATCTTACCTTTAATAATACAATCAAAATGTTTTAAAATACAAACAAATATCTCTAGCCATCTAACAACTCTCGCTCCGATTAGGCTTCGAAGACGCATAAACAGCCTGAAAAAAACAAGAAGACATTACTCAAAACTCAAAAGACTAATGGTAATATATATATATATATATATATATATATATATACCCAAGGGCGGAGGCAGCTTACCCCTGGGCCCATGCTGGCCCATTAGTTTTAATTACAAAATAGCTTATCATTTATAAAAGTTTTCAAAATGCTCCCCTGAAATAATTTTTTTTCTAAAAAATGGCCTTAATTTTTATTACACATAGGCCAATAATTTATAAAAAAGTGAAAAATGCCTCACTGAAATAATTATTTACCCTTGGGCCAATTAATTTTTATCACAAATAGGTCTATAATTTATAAAATTTTACAAAAATGCCCACTAAAATAATTAATTTTTTAAATATTTTTAATTTTTCACAGCCTTTTCATTCTTACTCCTCCACTTCCTCCTCCTCCTCTTCTTCTTTATACTCTCTTAAAAAAAAAAAAGTTGATTCCTTTATTCAAATTATTTTTTTTTCTCTTCAAAGTTTAGTAATTAAATTTGTTGTTAATAGGACTCTTAAGGTGTATTTTATGTTTTTATTTTTTTAAAATTATTAAATGTTATTATTCCATCATTATTACAATTTTATTTTTTGATTTATTGTCTTACATCACTATTTACTTAAAAAAAATATAATTTATCATCTTTAATAAAGCGCCCCCTTGAAACAAATTCTTGACTCCGCCCCTATATATACCTGATCATTTTAAATCTAATAGATTGGTACTATTAACAATACCTGATTATCTTCAACACTTGGAATCCAATCGTTTCTTGCAGGGTTGGTTCTGAACACCATCTGTTGTCTTTGTCCTCCATTTTCATAGCCTTTTGGCAGCTCTATATCAATCCCATCTTCACTCCCTTCACTCACCACCTTTATAAACCCACTCCCTGTCTGTTCAATACAAACAAACCAACATTAATTCAACATGTATATATACATATAGAAATGTTTTTTACACGCATATTATTTATCAAAAATAATAGAATGGGTAATGTGCAAAAAAAAACCTGAACAATGTTTGAATTTGTAAATAACCCCCTTGAATTATATTTTGTGCATAAAACCCCCTAAACTATCTTATTTTGTTGTAACATACCCCTAAAGACTATACCATATTTTATTAAATAACCATAATGTCCCTTCTTATTGAATTATATTTAATATATTTTTCTTATCGAAATAAATTATGAAAAAATTCAAACTAATTTGATGAGATATTTTTCATTAAATTTGCATAAATTTATCTTTATTTTTTTTAATTAATTATTTAAATAAAAAATTAATTAATTTTTTAATTTTTAATGAATATATTACATAAAAAGTACGTATTTTTTTCAAAAGTATTTTATTAATTTTTTATTAATATATTGTATGAAAAAATGGATATTTTTTTCAATTAAAAATGCTTCAATTGGTTATAATACATTTTTTATAAATAATAAAATTTTAATAATAAGTTAACCAATTTAAAAAATAATAATTATAAATATAGTTATCTATTTTTTTTCATGATAAATTGATATTAAAAAAAATTAAGATAAATAGTATAATTAATATTTACAAGAGAAAAGATAATAAAAATAATTTAATAAAAAATAAAAAATTTAATAAAAAAAAGTAAAATAATCTTTCGTGATAAATTTAACTTTAATGGTAATAAATCAATAATTCAGGTCAATAATAATTTAGGTTATTTGCACTTTAACTCTAATAGAAATTCCTACCGATATTTATTATTTATCATATTTAAAAAAAAAAAATCATAAGAAAAAAGTGAAATGGAGTTTTTGAAACACCAAAAATAAAAAATCCTTGTCAAATTTATATATATATATATATATACATACTACATGATTATTAAGAACTCAATGGGACTTTTCCCCTAAAATCAGACCGACAAAGAAGGATTAATGAGAACGTCAGGAATATTAACACATCATTACGTAGTATTTGAGAAAGGGAAAGTGTACCACCATAAAATCGCACCAGCCAAAAAAAATAAATTGAGAGAGACGTCATTTCGTTACAAATAATTTATATATATATAAAATATTTTTGGCAAAGGAGAAAGAGGGGATGAAAGAAAAACCGTATGGTGTTGTTTGTCAATAGAAACCAACTGTTTGTAGTATTGGGTCTCCACAAACTCGTCTTGGGCCACACTATTAGCACCTGAAAACAATCCCTGAAAGCAACATCACATACATACACACATACGTTAGAGAGAACTAAAAAAAAAACGTACATATATACAATTTATACAAAATAAGAAGCAGAAAAAATAAGATTGCGACGAACATGGGATTGAGATTGAAGAGATCGGAATTTATCCAACTCAGGAACACAAACGTTTTCGTCCAAAAGAGGGTTTGGTTGTGGCGGGGAATCGGATTCGCTACGGTTGGGCTTGTTGGGTCGCTTTGGGGCCATGGATTCGAACTGGGCTCGGACCTGATTGGCGATCCGGAGCTGTTGATCGGCGTCCAAGACCTCGTCGCTCCGGCTGGGTTTCGTCGCCGTCGAGTACTGTCCCACCATCTTGTTGAATATGAATGAGATTACGATTCTCAGCTGCTGCTGCTATACAATATATGGGTTAGGTCGGCTATGTTTACCTATAAATATATATATACCTATATATCAAACACACGCAATTAGAATTTTTTTTTTGAACTTTCCCGGATAGGAAATTGAAAACTAGGGGCCACGTGAAACCGGCGTAGGCGACATTTTAAACCAGAAAAGTCCATGGAACACTCCAATTTAACATAGAACAATTCTTCGTTTTTAAGCAGGTATCTGGTGTGGCCTATGAATCGTACACCCACTACATTACATCTGTGTGGGGATGTCAACGGGACCGGGTTTGGGCGAGTGTGCCTTCCCCGCCCCCACAACCGTTTAAAAACTCTATCCCGCCCTCGTTCAAAACCTTTAAAATGGGGGACTTTCCACCCTATCCACGCTCCCGTTTAAGATCTTTACCCCGCAGGTACCCGTCCCACCCCGTTTAAAACCAAACATTCTCCTTCATTTACTTTTTTTTTATTAACTAAAATTATATAATTATTAAAAAGATTTATTTTTAAAAAATGGACAATAAATAGTTTAACATAAAATTTAACATTAAAAACGTTATATAATAGCAATTTAACAAAAGTATTAACATATCAAAACCAAACAAGCTAAATTGCATTATTCCCGTTTACCTATCTAATGAATTCAGGGTACTTAAGTAACTTACCTATCTAAATGGGGCAAAACGATCTTCCCTTCCCCCAACACCGAACCCGTGTAGATTTTCATTACATCAAACTATTCCCACCCAAATAAGTTAAATGATCCCCCAAAACTGCCAAAAAGGGGACGGGGCAGGGCGGGGCGGGTAACCACGAGTGTGGGGCAAATTACCATCCCTACATTTGTGCAGGCACTGAATGCATATTATGCATGTACAGCACGCGCGGGAACCGAATACGATGTGTTTAGTGTGACACGTCGTATATATCATTCTTATATGTATTGGTTTAGTTTTTTTTTTTTTCTAGTAAATGACGTAACTCTCAGTCATATAAATGGGTTGAATTTGCCCAGTTTTTCCATTCCAAATTATTAGTTCTTTTTTATAATATTAAAAGAAAATTTATTTTTTAAAAATACGAGGTTCTCCCTAAGTCACATAAAGCAAGAATAGGAGCGAGAGCGAATTCGAGAATGGGAACACGAGCGAAGCGTGAGAGCGGGAGTGCACTCGAAACGTAAGAGCGATACCCGTTAAGGAGAATTGTGTGACTTAAGATTCTCCTACTATCAAGAGTGGGAGAGTTATGAATTTATTGTTATGGGAACAACCATTAATAATATAATTTTATTATTTGGGTTTACATCGCAACAATGAAATTTATCTTTATGATTTTATTTATTTTTAACCAAAATAATTAAATTTTGAAAAATTAAGTATAGATTGATTACATTAGGAATTTAGGATAATCTTTAATGCTACATTTTGTGTGCAGGAATGAAATGGAATACAAATAGGAATATAATGAAATGTCCATTCTCATTCTATTGTTTGGTTGTAAATATGAAATGTGTAGGAATGGAATGATAATAACCATTCTAGTGTTTGGTTGGACCAATTTAAAATTTATAATGGAATAAATTTCTAATTAAATTCTTCAAATTATCCCTCTTAATAACAAATAAATTAAATTAACAAAATGACATTTTTTAATAATTTTTTAAAAATAAATGGTGGCAGTGGCGGTGTTGGAAAATGGCGATGGTGGTAATGGTGGAAAGTGGCGGCAGCGGTGTTAGTGGAAGGTTGCAGTGATGTTGGTGGAAGGCGGTGGTAGTAATGTGGTGGTTATGGTGGAAGGAGATAATGGTGTGACTATGGTGGTGGTAGAAGGTGGTGACGACGGTGGTGGTGGAAGACAGTGGTAGTGGTGGTGGTGGTGAAAGGTGATGGCGGTGGCAGTGACGGTGGTGGATGGTGGTGGCGGAGGTGGAAGGTGGTGGTGATAGAAGGTGGTGGACGGCGATGGCGGTGGCGGTGGAAGGTGGTGGCAGTGGTGAAAGGCGATGGCGGCGATGGTGGTGAAAGGTGGTGAAAGGCAATGGCAATGGTGGTAGTGGAAAGTGGTGGTGGTAGCGGTAGTGAAAGGCAGTGGTGGTGGAAAATGGTGGGCGATGGTGAAAGTCCGTGGCAGTGGTGAAAGGCGAAGGTGGTTGTGGTGGAAGGTAATGGTGGTTTTGAACTTGGAACATGAGGGTTTTTTGAAAAGTTGATTTTTTTTTTAAAAAAAATTACTTAAGACTGGAATGGTCATTCCATAGGTTTAGTTATGGAATGGATTTTTATTTCCAGGAATGGATTTTCATTAAAATGAAATGGCAATTCCCACTTTAAATTGCATACCAAACAAATGAATGGTTGGAATGTGTATTCCATTCCATTTCATTCCTGCATATCAAACGTAGCATAATGGCTCTTTTAAATTTGAAGTTAAGAACAATTTTTGTTAAAATATTGATGGGTTTCTTTTTATAATATCTTAAGTTTTTTCAGTGGGAGCATTTTCATAAAGGGTAAATTGCACACTTCCAAGGTTTGAGTTAAAGACAATCCATTTACAACTTAATCACTTTTTGAACAATGATACCCCCATGTTTGGTAAACTGAACAAAGACACTATCAACCATGATAAAAGTATATACTTGCCCTTTGACTTCTCAATTAACCCATGTGAATCATTAAATTATATTTATAACCTCATATTAATTGACAAAATGACCCTCAAGAATGAAAAAACAAATAAAAGTCATCATTTCAGCTAGGGCATTATTAGAATTTTAGAAATATTCTAAGCGTTCAATGTATATATATATATAATTTCAATGGGGGTGGACGCCCTCACTTGGTCCCTTGTATAGGGGCGGAGCCAGGATTTCAATTTAGGGGGGCATAGTGCAAATTTAAAAATAATAATAAAAAGAAAAATGAAGAAGAAAAAGAATTCTTTTTAGAAGTGTAAGGGAAAAAAAAAAGAAGAAGAAAAATGACATAATTTTGAAAGGAAAATTTTACTTTTGTAAGGAAATTAAAGGAATTTAAAGAGACAAATATGGGAAAAGGAAAAAAAAAAAATTATAAGATAACTTTAGAAACTAATAATTTTATGAGGCACAATATACAAATTTTTCTATATATGCGAAGAAAGAAAGAAAGAAATATATATAAATATATACAATATAGCGGACGAGGCCAGGGCAAAGGGCACTTTGTTGAGAGTTGGTGCGCAGCGGAATAGTTGTGGAATATAATATGGATAGATAACCTAGAGGAGTGGTTAATAGGTTCAACTTGCTCTTTTCTCCAATCTTTGCTTATTTTAATTTTACCGAAATAAAACTAAAATCAAACCACAAAGTAAAAATAAAATGTAAGTAAAATAAATAAGGTTTGAGAGATGGTACCAGGATTTTAGCCAAAAAACCCCAATTGGTATAATAAACCAATTGTAACAGGAAGAATCTCGTTGGACTAAGCAATCTTGAGATAAACGATCCACTATGTTTGAAGCAAAATATATCGAACTTTGACTCAGTTTTACATCTTATCGTTTTACCGAACACTAATCGCTGGCAATCATTAGCTTTGTGACTCCCCCGTCCAACAGCTCTTGACCTCAGGCTTACTCTTGATCTTTGTAGAAGAGTTGCAGGTAGATCAAACAACACTCCACGAATGCTTTGACCCCTTCAAAGTGTGATTACTTCACCCCTTTTTTTCTAGATCAGAATTTGACGAAAAACGAATGAATTTTGCTTTTCGGAATTTCTGAATCTTCAATTGTACTCCAATTCCAATGAAATAGAGAACAACACTACTAAATCACTCTTGTGTTTATGTGTGTGTTCTCAAAAATAAAATAAAAAAAAATCAGATTGATTTTCTGAATGAATAAAAAATATATCTAAAAAATGGACAGAATGTAAATTATTCCTTAAAAACTTTCAAAACCATTTCTAAATGTTCTTACTGCCTCTCAAAACTTCCTAAAACATTGTTCTCATCATCTCAAGCTGTAGTAAGCCATGAACACTTGAACTTCTTCAAATCCGCATCCGATCTTCAACCTTGAAATTCTGAACTGGAAAATTACAACTCAATAGGACTTATTTTGACAACGAAATTAGCCAATATACAGTATATATATATATATATATATATATTTCACAATCTTCCCAAAATATATATTCCACACACTGGCTCCGCCCATGCCTATATAGCTCGTGCTCTGTGTACAGAGTTTTAATTAACTTTAACCCTTTTTACCCATAATAAAGGTAATTAATGATGGTTTTTATTAAAAGTGTGGACACCCTCACTTGGTTGGAGATATTAAAAGTGTCGTAAATCGTAATAAAATGATGGCTTTTATTTATTTTTTATGGTCATTCTGGTCAAGTACGTATTTTTATCATGGTTGGAGTGTCTTTGTTCAGTTTACCAATCATGAAGGGTATCATTGTCCAAAAAGTATTTAAGTTATATATGGTTGTCTTTAACCCAAGCCCGAGGGGTGTCAGTGCAATTTACCCTTTTATAAATGCTCAAACTTGTACCTAAAAAGTTTAAGTAATGTTTTTGAACTTATTTGGTCCTTGTAGGGAAGTGAAATTTTTTTTTTTCCAAAGGCAAGAAATTATTTCATTAGATGAAATTAAATATGAATACAATCTATATAAGCTTTCTCTTATATGAAAATTGGAAAAAAAATTAGAAAAGCATACAGTTTCTCTTCTCTGCATAGCATATTGGGCAAGACAATGAGCCAAAACATTTGCCTGTCTCTTCACCCAACCAATCTTCCATCGATCATGTAGTTTTATATAAGCCTGAATATCTCCCTAAATAGCTTCAATGTCAACTGAAACTTTTGATGGATTAATCACCAAACTACAATCTCCTTCAATCTCCACTTCTATTAATTCCCATGCTTGAGCCCACTTTAAGGCTAATCTTGCAGACATGGCTTTAGCTACTAATGCAGAAGCCACGTTTGGGAAGAAATGGATGACCACCTTTAAAACCTTACCCCTACAATCACGCAGAACTAAGCCAGTAGCAGCATCTTTGGTCTTATCTCTATAGGCAGCATCAAAATTCAGCTTCAATCCATTTTCTACAGGAGCTTTCCATCGCACAA